GTCAGCTGGCGGAGGCAGCTCCAGGTTCCCGAGATCCAGTACGCCCTCTGGTGGAGGAAAGTAGACAGCACCCCAGATCCCAACAGAAACAGAAAATCCCCAGGAAGGGATCCTCGGCGCCCTCTGGTGGGCAAGCCTCAGGATCCCAACAGCCTCAAAGGTCAGACTCTGTTCCGTCATTTCCTGAATTCCGTCCGTCACTTCCAGGGAAATATTCAGGCATTACAAGTAAATGCAAAGGATTTCTTTTCCAATGTAGACTGATTTTGGAACATTCACCATCCAGTTTTTCTAACGATAAGAGAAAGATTAGCTTTATTATTTCTCAACTGACTGGAAGCGCTCTCGAATGGGCTGAGGCCCGATTCCCCTCTGAATCCAGTTTCAGATGTACTTTCGAGCAATTTATTAGAGAATTCTCACAAGTCTTAAACCAAGACTCTGATAAATCAATTGATTCTCGAGCTCTGCTAAGTTTAAAACAAGGAAACCGGACTGTAGCAGATTTCTCGATCAACTTCCGGGTTAAAGCCGCCGCTTCCGGGTGGAATGAATGCGTGCTTAAAAGCGCCTATTTTAAGGCTCTAGATGAAGAAATTAAGGATGAACTCGCCACAATCAACAAACCAGCGACTCTGGAGGAATTAATCAGCTTAACCATTCGTTTGGATAATCGACTTTGAGCCAGGACCAGGTCTAAATTAAGAAGCCATGTTTTTTCTGCAAAGACTAACTGCTCTTCTGTTTTTTCTGCCCATCCTGAGATTGATTTTAGGCCACGGAATCATACCCAGTCAGCTCCTGTTCATCCATCTTTAACCCATGGCGTCTCTTCTCCTACAGAAACCTCTGATGTTGAGCCTATGCAGATTGGTCATACCAGACTCACTACTGTGGAAAGGCAAAGGAGATATAAAGGGAATCTATGCATGTACTGTGGAGAGCCCGGTCATTTTGTCTCCTCCTGCCCAGCTGAGGTAAAAGCCGGGGTCCGCCAGAGGAAATGAGGAATCTGGCGGGCCATCTGCAATCTGAGAAATCTCCTCACCTATTGTTACCTGCTACTCTGTTTGCCGCTGATCAGAATCTCACTTTATCTGCATTTATTGATTTCGGCTGTGAGAAAAATTTAATCGACTCCAACCTTGTCCAACAACTAAACATTGAAACCATTCCTTTGAAGAAGCCGCTTAGAGTCTCAGCCATAGATGGTAAAAGATTACTAAATACATTTATGTTGTACAGGTCAAAGAGTCCAAAAGAGTGTGCTCCACCAAATTTGGAGAGATAGAGAGCAGTGTGCGTGTAAGGCTCTCTGCAGGTGCAGCTTTGAGTGCAGCCTTGA